GTGTTGAGGTGGGGGGGGGGGGGGGGCTCAACCAGGGGAGCCGGTTTACAACTTCGTCTCCCCAGTTTGGTCTGTATGCAATCACAAGCATGAATGAATTGGTTTTAAAGAAATAAAGTATGAAAAGAAATAGAATCCTCCCTCCCTCTTCCCTCCGACAGCCCGGCGTTGGATCCAGCCGCATACAACTGGTCCCAGATGATTTGGCCTTTCTACAACTATATTCTACAACTATAATAACCAGTCCAAGAACAATAGGGACGGCTTTATTTTGTTGAAATTGTGCAATGCAGGACTTTTCAAGACTCAGTCAAAGACTTCAGTTTTTCAATGAAATGCGACTGAACAAGTACCACAGCAGCACAGTTATTCCTATTCAAAATAGGTAATTTAAACATGTGTTAAGACTAAAGTATGATTCAGTCAACAAATTTAATAAAAGAACAAGCCGGCGAGAACACTGGTTATAGCCGGGACTGTTACCGTAAAAGAGATGCACATTACAAGCTGTCAAGCAGCTTTTCCTTCCACCTCAATCCTTAATTGTGACGTCATTTCGGAATAGTAAGTCATTTCGGAATAGTAACTTTGTGTCCATACAAAGGAAGAAAGCAAGTGATTTTGGTCAAACTTTCTTTAATATGTGTACATACACCCACAAGACATATTAAAAAGTTCACATCAACTTTAATTTTCTTGCATCCTTCTCATTGCCAGATGCGTGTGCTTTTTTTAACGTTTTACCGAATTGGATAAGTTAGGTATTTTCATTAACTGGGAAAAATTCAAAAACCGTACCGGAAGAAACACTGAAAAACGACTTCAATTGGCCAGCATGGGCAGTTAGCTATGCAAATAAAGCATTCTATAGAACGCCCATTTGTTCGACTTATTGGGATTGTATATGCGGATTTACACTACACAACCTTTTCCTAAAGCTGTTGGCAGGGGCGTAGGGGGGGGGGATGATTTCAATAGTTTTCGTTTTTTTGGGACACCCTGCAGTTCAAAACGCAGCAACAATCGCCCGTGTAAACGGGCCTTTATAGGGTGGGGTTAAAATCGTCTTATATGCGCGATAATACTCTTATACATCTCCGCACCAGACATGATCTTCAGGGGTATTTTAGGTTTTGGGTGGTAGCTTCCCCTCAACCAATTTTATTCTGAAGTAACTATGGCTTTATATATTGTCTTTTCTCGTTTCTCTGCATGCAAACGTTTCCCTTGACGTTCACCTAAAAGACAGGCAAAACATCTGGAGGGAAATGCTCCCACCCAAAATGTGAATTGTTGGTCATGTTTGCAAATATCAGAAACATTAGCCTGTAAATCAGGAACACTACAATTGTATAATAGAAACATGTTAATTTCGACCTCAAACAAACCATTCGCAGGCTATTATACCTATAGAGATGCCTGCGGAGGAGGCTAATGTCGACCCCTACCTACAGCAAAAATAGTAAAGTTTCACAATATTGCAAATTTCAACAATCATTATAAGACGAATTTACACTTTGTCTACAGTTTTTCATTAATTCAAATACAAACTTACGTCAATAAGCTAGGTGCATGTTTATTGGTCATGCATTAGTTCAATTCTACATCCGTTGGTTTCACATTCTAACAAATCAATTCAACCTTATGGTAAGTAGTAGTATTCATTATGAAACACATCGACTTTTGACCTCACTTCCATACCCATGATATATTACCAAACGCATGTGTATAATAGATTCTTCGCGACAGTCTCGGATCAGAAGCTATATTTTAGTTCCATAGAAGAATCCACTTATCAATCAGGAAACAGTTACCAATTCGAGTATTTGTTTTCTACAGTATAAAGGTCCAGACACACCGGACGACAACGCGACGCGATTTTTTAGTTTTTGAAAGTTAATAAAACAGCCAATGAGAGCAAATGTTGAAAGATATGTAGACCAAATAACTTAAAATGTTATAGCGCTTCTAAATATTTGGAAAATTTAAACTAGGATCAAAGTTATACATCAGTGAAAATCGAAAAATCGCGTCGCGTTGTCGAATCGCGTCCAGTGTGTCAGGACCTTAAGGCTTGCACCGGACCTCAAGCAGAAAATATTAATGGCACATTATTACACGAGACAATTTTCACTACGTTGCAAATTGTTGTGAAAAAATTGCGCGTATCATATGGCAATATCTCCAATAATGTGACCAGGGAATTGATGACTATGTCCATGGAATTGTTTGGAAGTGACCAACATATATATACAACTTTTGACTTGAAGTAATGTTGACATGCAGTAAGATCTTTGACCGTATAGTCAATGTGTACCAGAATGAAAAGTGTAACCAAAGTTTGATCTGTAGCCTATTAGCCTATAGCTAACAATGACATGCGAATTCTAGCCATTTGTAGGATATAGTGCGTATTTAACACTTTATAATAAAGATCAGCATTGTCCTTTGTCCTCCAAATGGTGGAATTGTTCATTCAACCTATATTCGTGCACATATACTGTACGGTACATAGTAACTAAGAATGAAAAGAAATTAATTCTAATTACAGTGTTAAACATGTTACACTATACAACTCCGCCTTTTGTTCCAAAATCACGGCTGCAAAATATTAGTCCATGTTTATTTTCCAGCAGTGACGTTTCATTTCTTAATCGATTTTAACAGTCGAGTAGATTTTCTTAACAAACGCACTGGCTCCAACATAACCAAGTGTACCTGAAACAGTGAGATGTGGTAAGGTTAACAAACAAACAAACAAACAAACAAACAAACAAACAAACAAACAAACAAACAAACAAACAAACAAACAAACAAACAAACAAACAAACAAACAAACAAACAAACAAACAAACAAACAAACAAACAAACAAACAAACAAACAAACAAACAAACAAACAAACAAACAAACAAACAAACAAACAAACAAACAAACAAACAAACAAACAAACAATGCTTGATTTGTGTCGGACTGTCGGCTACCAAATATTTACCGCACTTTAAATGTTTAAAATGCGCACTTCTCCCGACTCATTACTTGCTCTATTACACACAAAGTATTTCCAAAATCTATTTTTCAATAGCACTGTTCTCCTACGGAACAGCCTGCCAGACGAAATACAATCCTCTCTTACTGTTTGGTCGCTGAAATCTAAACACTACGTATACTGAGAAACTTAATTCATGTTTAGATGTTGATAGACCTGACAAACGTTGTGAACATACCACAAAGTATTCCAAGAGCCATGCTAAATAGAGCCATATATCCAAAATAGAATGTCGTTTGGAAGAATCCATACATCCTGTAAAAAGTAAAAATTTAACATTGATATAAACTCACCTGTGTAACTTAACCTTTATCTATGATGAAAATAACAAAAACTTACTTCGTCTTAAAGAAGAAATAATAGAAAGAGTAGAAATACACATAAACAGCCGTCGATGCCGCTGATAAGAACGATGTCCATTGCCTATAAAATAAACCAAACCTCCGATACATATATGATTGAGCATTTCCTTGTAATACAATGCCAAACATGTACTGTACATATTCCGCAAATGGGAAATCATGTTGTTCATAGTAAAATCGCCGATCGAATAATGTCAGCGAGCTTCTCGAAGACTGGTTCCTATAAATTTCTTTCCAACAGGTTTCAATTTTGTTTTAGGTAAAATATTTAAATATTCAGTGGAATTTTGTTTGTGAACGTAGATTTATTAGAAGATTTCAAAGTTCTTTTCAGACAAGCAGATATTGCGAGATATTTGTACGAAAATCATTATGTAAACATGAACCAAACATTGTAAAACATATAAGCATGAACCAAAACATGTAAGCATGAACCAAACAATCAAGCAATATTTTCTATTTGCTTTTCTGAAACTTTCACCTCTGTTCATATTAAATAATTTTGTGTTTTTAATTTAAATCAAGGATCACTCAAGAGGTTTTTATAGGGAGAAAAAAAAAATATTATCAAAAACCTCTTGAGTGATCCTTGATTTAAATTAAAAACACAAAATTATTTAATATTTTCTATATTTTGCAAACATTGAATAATTCGAAACTTGTTTCTCAGAAGTTTAAACAAATGTAATACTATTTCTAATTCCATGAAACAATCAAGGTATTTGTTCTTACCAACGATAGTCCTCCGCATTAAGCAAGAAATATGTACAGACAATGGTAACACACATCGTCACAATGATCAAGATGAAGAATACCAAAAACATGAAACCAAACACGAAATAGATCTTGTATGCCCAGAAAGAGGTGAAGATGAAGTACCTGAAATGAAAACATGCCATATATATCACAGCTGCAAGACGATATTGTTGTATATTGTTAAAATAGTGACCCAGAGTGCGATAAATCGCGTACTTACGTACAGGAGGTACGCCAATATTACAGTCTGGTACTTCTTTGTTTTCAGCAAGTAACACGTAGGTATCATATGACCTTTACAAGCCCAAGGTAGGTATTCAAAACTGAATTCGATTCGGTAAATGAGTACGTCTAACATGTCTTGACATGAAAAATTATTGGACTGATGGGACTAAGAAATGTTGGAGTCGATTTTCGATAATATTTGTATAGGAAATTGTCGTCCTTCTTGTTCTAACTCGTAGTTTCAGGTTACTGAATGAAACCTTTCAGAACCCTTTGTACTTTGTACAGAACTTCATGTACTTCATTTTAAAGTTTTATGTTTGTACCAGCTCAAGTACGCGGCAATAATCATTGGAGTACCAGTCAGGTACGACTAAAAATCTTGAATGGACCATTTGCATTATGGACTAAATTTTGAACTAGACAAAAATTTCATCACAGCTTCAAAGAGCATCACAAAATTAGTAATATTCCAAAGTTTCGTTGCAAAATGTTGTAAAATGCGGATAATATAGCCATGCGAAGTTTGCCGTTTTTCAGTCATTTTGTATTACGCACGGGAAATTGACAGCCCAATCGGGTGTTGGGGCATCAATTTCCCGTTTGTAATACAAAATGACTGAAAATTGCAAATTTCGCAAGGCTATATTATCCGCATTTTACAACATTTCGCAACGAAACTTTGGAATATTACTAATTTTGTGATGCTCTTTCAAGCTGTGATGAAATTTTTGTCAAGATCAAAATTTAGCCTATAATGCAAATGGTCCATTGTCGCACCCTGTAGTCCCTGATTTATCATACCGCACGTAGCCCAATACATTTCTCTTACATTTCAATAAAGATCGATCCAAATGGTAATATTCCACCAAGGCAAACAATTATTGCTGGCTCCATGAACCTAAAATGAAATAGACGTATTAGTATAGGTAATCATGCGATGGCGAGTACAATTAGGGATTAATAGTACGAGTGATGTTTGCAAATTTTGCCAAAATTGGACGAGCCGCCGGGGCGAGTCGAACTTGGCAAATTTCCAAACATCACGTGTACTAAAAGGTTAAGGGCGCGTAATTCAAAAACACGTTCTATATAGGGCTTTTAATAGCATGGTACTCACGAAGCAATAATTTGTTGCCCACACAAATTATGCCTACTGTAAACCTTGAATGGCAAAAGTGATCAGAATACGAATACATATATATAATGGATAAGAGTACATACAGCTAATTCAAAAAAGGCTTAGCCTGCGTGTTAGGCTCTATGCTGGAAATAGAGCCTGCTACTGAAGTTAATAAAAAGTGGATTTATGCGTACGAATCGTACGCAAAATTCCCATTGGTCAGAAATAAATAGCCTTGCCTTATAAGATAATATCAAGTTGTTGTTTACATAATATGATATTTCGTACTGGTAATTGTACTTTTGGCCGCATTAATTACTGCCTTTGCTGTCTATAAACACGGTCAATAACCGTTATTATTATATGGCTTTGCAGAATCCTGGATTCTGATTGGTCGACGTGCGGTCCGTAAAATGCGTATCCGGACCGTGGTCTGTATTTTCCCGTATCCGGACCGGTTTCCCGTATGTCAATTTGACAGACTCGAATTTGAAACTTTTTTACACGTTTATAAGGTCGTTATGATCATTTTTAAGAATAAGAAGTCTTGGAAATATTAATAAGTACTTGTTACCAACACAGATTTCATCGAAAAAGCTAAGAAAACAAGCAGTTTGAACTCTTACTGGCAACCGTAAGTTTTGGCAGGAAAATGTTTTGATTTGTTTAGTTGTTTCAAAAAATAAAATAAAGATGAATTTAACGTCTTTAATACCATATTCTAGACAAATATCATATAAACTGGGTTTATAAGCCTTTTTTTCTGCGGGTGGGGGTTACCGAAAAAGTAGTTCTAAAGCGATTGTTAAACATGCTTTTCCGTAAACAATATTCGTTGACGAATCCAAATCTAAAGGAATATTGTCATATTTTAAATTAGCTTTGATAATCTAATTAACAATCGCCGTTTTGAATGATTGTTATTTTCGTGCATCCGAACGACTGTCCACTTTTCATCGACTTCAGTAGCATGCTCTATTTCAAGCATAGAGCCTGACACGCAGGCTATTCAAAATTCTAAACCTTAAAACTCTAAGCGTGAAAAGGGCAATGCGAACACGCAGTGTTTGCTTTATTCAGTCAGAAAGACTTGTCATAATTGCATACAGCTAATATTTACTATGGAGAGCGTTCCCATCGCACTTTTCGCGCTTAGGTTTAAGGTTTAGAGTTTGGAAGGACGACAACCTCTTTTTTGAATCAGCTGTATATTCTTATCCATTTTAAGATCAAAATAAAATCAGAAAATTACCATTTCTTCTCGGGAATTGGCCGCGGCACGGTGTTTATCCGGCATGGATAATCAGGTGTACCAGCCATGTTACGACCCAGGACAGTACCAACAAGATTTAACGGAAGAATAACAAACAAACATATAGCTGCGACCGAGAGCTAGATAAAACATACAATTAATATTAACTAACTTCTACAGTGATGCTTGTGATGTTACTCTGAGTGTATATCCACACCGGGCAAGCTTGAAAAATATGCCTGGCCACGGTGGGAATCGAACCTACGACCTTTGGAATACTAGCCCCCTAACTTCTACAGTACAAAAAAATTTCGATAATACAACCATTTTTTACTAGGATCCTAATACAGAGGAAACAAATTGAAACTCCAATAACATTTACTTACCATGGACGTGAAAGGAATCGCCCTTGATGCACGGTAATAAATAGCGACAAAATTTATCAAGAACGCTGTTCCACAAATCATTGAAGGGAATAATGCAGTACTGAAGAGCATTTGTTTTATCCATCCTTTACCTAAAAATATTCATTCAAGTATAAAGAGCTAAATAAAGTATCCACAGTAGTTTAGACTTCACTATGAATAATGGCATGTAATTTACACTCCAGGGGCCGGTTGCATATAAAACACGAAACTACGTTTTATAATAACAGCCCGTTTCGTAGTTCACTATAAAATGCACGATTCTGATTGCTTAACTTTTCCACAACTTTTCCACACTTTTTTATACAACCGGCCCCAATGTTTTTTTCCAATTATAGCCTTTCTCAAGATGATGAAAATCCGCCATTTTTGGGTGGCATCTAATTCTCGTTAACCAATGCAGACAATTAAATAACCTAATTTTGAAAATAAACTAACCATTTCCAAAGCAAATTTAACATCATTCGTCCAAAAAATTATGTGGACTTTTCGTCCAAAAAATTATGTGGGCTGTTATGTGGACTTTTCTCGCAGACTTCGGCTGAAATGCCACCCAAAAATGGCAGCGTGAGAAAGGCTAATTCTGTACACTTTGTACTTGCTCCATAAAAGACACTGGTATTTGGAATTTTCGGTGCAAAGAGACTGTTTCTACAGTAATTTCGTTTTCAAGGATGGAATGTTAAAGGTGAATTAGGTGATTATTTAGACAATGAAAGGTACTTTTTGTTTAACGAGAATAGAAAGTAAAAATTCAAAGCTATCAATATCTGTACGCTAAACGTTTAGACTCATTGATGGGCGTTAAAAATATGGGCGCTGTAGTCACTGATCTCATAGTCCATGAGATTAGTGGCTGGAGTGCAAAAATATCATGAATGGAAAACGAAGTAAAAGTTTCGTCATTAACACACATTGGTATCATTCGTAGTAAATTCCTACCACTTTGCCTGGAATATAATGATCCTCCAAAGTATCCATTCACCGGAGCTGTGGCGGCATAAACAAATATGGAGGTCGTCAATATCGATCCACGTCTGTAAGAAAAAATAAGGATTAGGAAAAAGTTGTGTAGGTATAGTCAAGGATTTTCAAGTTGCCAGCCGTGCAGTAACTCCAGACCAGTTACTCCAGCCAGTACATGTAACTTCACTACACCCACATGATTTTTGGAGTTGGCCTGTACCTTCGAGATTCTGGCCAGTTAATCGCATAAATGCTCGATTCAGTATGACGTTAATGCGACAATTTTCTGTGCAGGCCTTAAAATATCTTTTACAGGGCCGTCTGACAAAATGTCCGATGACGTTGAGTTTGGGTCGGACATATGTCCGATGACCTTCAGTTCAGTTTTGACTCGGAAATAAGTCTGAATGACACAAATGAATATCAGCACAATGTATTAATTCTAAGCGGTAAATATTGTAAAAATAGTAAATAATTTGTTTCTTTCATACTTATTTCCAAGCCCGCGCGCGACTACGTTAAAACAACATTTCCATGCAGTTCACATTTTATACAACAGTACTCTGATTTTCCATTTAACATACAAGCCTCTAGTCCTGGGCTAGGGTACATTTTGATTTACGTCGGACAAAACTACAGTTCGGTCTGACACCAATACACTCAGGTCGGACAAACAATAAACCTCAGTTTCACTTTGGTCGGACAGAATGTCCGGTGGTTTCCTCTATACGTCGGACAATTTCACGAATGGGTCGGACAATGTCCGTGACCGACCGATAATTTAAGGCCTGAGTCTGTATCGAACCAAGGAACATGTCATCAGAGACAAATATTGTGAAATGGTTACATACTCTGTGTAAAGATCACCAATGATAGACATAATGATGACAAGAAATCCAACAACAGCCAGTTGATAACCAGAGCCAACCAGGGAGGAGAACAATAATGGGTAGGATGCTGAACGGAAAACATCACCATGCACTTGTTTCCAACCATATTCATCTCCCAAATCACGTTCCTGTTGAAGAAATACATGCAGTCTACTCAACAAACAACATAATCAGGACGTTAGCCAGAAGTAAAAAAAATCCGCGTTTACCTGAAATTGGGAAATTTATTTTAAAATTTTTTCTCGGAAAAATTTTTTTTGGGCGACGGCAAGATGGACGGCAAGATACGGTATTATTGTCAGATGTGAAAAAAATAATTCAATTTTTATGCTATTTTTTGGCTGACCCAAATTGGGAAATTGCGACCTCAAGGTAATTGGGAAAACCGCGTTTAACGCGGAATTTTTGACTGTAGCTAACACCCTGATAATGGCACATTGTCCCTACCAGTACTGCTTTGTTTTTACTGTGAAATGCATCATAATAGATAGTATATGTGAATACAATGTACGCATTTCGGATTTCCCACGGGGTTGGATGAAATCGGAACTGAACTTAAAAATTCGTCCGGTTCCACATGTTCACACGGAACTGGATTAATCACGAGACGGTTCCGAATTCATCTGACAACGGGGCGTTAACGAGTACACGAAGACGTTATTTACACAGGGGGTCCAATAAAGTGCACTTGTTCCAAACCATTGCCGCTAAAGTACACTTTCCAGGAGACATATCATACAAAGATACTTCATGTTATCATATAGTATATCCATGGTGTTCTTCAACACGAAATTGGACAGGAAACGTATCATGCATGGATATTATTAACTTCTATGGTCTGGTAAAGCAATGGAATGTTTATTTATACATTCGGTAAACCGAAAAAATCGATGTTTTTTGAAAACCGAAATACTCGATGTTACTTTTGGAGAAAAACCGAAAAAACCGGGGGGAAAACGAAGAAAAATCGGTATTTTACTAAAATCGAACCATACTTATACGAGTTTGTTGCAAATGAATCAAGTTTTGGCATTTACACACGAAAAAGTAAAGAGATTTTGTTTGAAATTTGATAACGTCTTCAAAATACCTTACGTTTAATATCTTGCGTGAGTACTGAGTAGCGTGTTGTGTCTTTTTTTTACCGTAGTTTCGATTTTCGAACGTATTTTTATAAAAACCCGGTTCACTCGTTTGTTTTTTTTTGGTTTGTGAGTCGGTTTTCGTTTTTTTGTAGAAACCGCCTCACGCTAATTTATACACCATCTGATCTGGTAAACACCAACTGTACACCAGATCATGCATGCGACTAAAGTACAAAATGCCAGATAGACTAACATCACAGTTACGTACCATATCATCTAAATCATCTTCTTTACTGTATCGAGCGTAATCTTTTCTCAAAGTACGCATTAAGATCATACTGACTAAACCAACCAGGAAGATAACCATCATAAATGAATTAAAGATTGAAAACCAATGGATCTAAAAACACATAAATATTCAAAACCAGAGCAAATTACAACGTTTGGTAAACTACCCAGTTAGAAAATACATACCAATACCATTTCTAGTGCCTTATTAAAACCTTTAGTGATTAAATACAATGAAGTAAACTTTATCTTACTCTGTGTTGAAAGAAATTTGGATCAAGGTACTTGTCATATCGCTTGCTGAAAAGAGTAGTTGAAGGCTTCCATGTCACCTGGTATTGAAGAATGAACAATTTAATGAAAATGAACTGAAGCTGTACATTACTTTTATGGTTATCTCAAACACAATGTGAATGTTGTGTGCTCTTAAGTCTGAGTTTCTATTTAGTCGCAACTGTCGTGGACATGTCAAGGTGGTCGATATAATACGAGACAGATTTGGATACATGTACTGTACGGGCCAGTACAACACACATAAAAATGTAAATTATGCATCCAGACTACATACTGGTGTATATTTCACATCTGCTGGTTGTGGTGTTGAACTCAAGTGTGCAATTTTTTGCTGTTGTCTTACTCTGAGAGTGTCCTCTCCGGGCAAGCTGAAAAGTAACTTGCCCGCGGTGGAAATCGAACCCGCAACATTTAGCTTGGTAGGGCAAAAAAAAAAAATATGTGGGTTTCCGGTTTCCCGACCCTACCTAGCTTTTGGACGTCGAAATCCCGACCCTAAACTTTTTTATTGGATCATGGTTGTAAGTGTTTCCACTTAGAGAAAAAAGTTTGTGGAAAATTGAAATTTGAGGCAATATTAGGGAAATTTATCTTTGGATGTGGAAGCACTGACTGAACAAAATGGCGTCCGCTTGTTCGGAAAATTAAAAAAAAGTTTAAAAAAAAAGAAGTTAAAACCGACCTACCCTACCTAAGTTTTTATAAGAAGAAACCGGAAACCCACATATTTTTTTTTTGGCCTAGTTCAACGCTCTACTAACTGAGCTACGAGGTCAAGTCGGTTCGAGTAGGTGATATTTTGGAACTCATTCTAGTTCCTTCAATGTCTATTAGGATGTTAGGGTTTAATACTAATTCCACCAAGTTGTTAGGGTCTAATATTAATTCCACCAAGTGAAGTGCAAGAATCTAAGTCATTCAAGTCCACCTTCAATGTCTATATTTCACATCGTCGAACATGACTTTGTCACAACAGTTATGGCTGAATGGAACCTGTCTTAAATGTACGCAGTATTAATGTCGCAAATACAACCATGTATAGAATTGGGCAATTGGCTTGTTCATGTGTAAAATATATAAAATTGTTAAATAAAATGGCGCATTAATTACAGGTAAACTACGTGAAGCGTTCCTCTTTTGACTTCCTAACTCATTTGGAATTTTCCTCATTAGCTTTGCAAATTTGAAAAACTCTTTGCAAATCCCTTGAGGGAATTTGCAATGTTCCTATCAGCTGTTGCAATATTCCAATGAAAAAAACATTTTTAAATTTTCCTAACTTCCTGTTTTAATTTCCTGACTTCCTGTTCTGTTCTGAGCGTTGTCATTGGTGGATTATTTTTGTTAGCCAATTGCAACGCACAGAACAGGAAGTTAGGAACTTGTAACGGGAAGTGAAGAACTTCTAACGGGAAGTGAAGAACTTCTAACAGGAACTGAGGAAAATTTATTCGGCTTTTAGCAACATTGCAAATTCCCTCAAGTGATTTGCAAGGGAGTTTTCTAAATTGCAAAGGTAATGAGAAAAATTACAATCAATTTAGAAACGCAAAAGAGGAACGCTTCACGTAGTTTACATGTAAGAAAAATACATTACACAGTCATCTTGGTATATATGAGTACCATTAAGTGTACCAGTACGAACCTCGTAAGTAAACATCATTTTACTCCCAACCGTAAGTTTGGCTTTTGTCTCACTGGTCAAGTTCACATCGACTATCTAAAAACATCAAAATATGTTTTTATAATATATTTCCAAATCACTAAAATTACATGATTCATAGCCAGTTAGGTAGAAAGCAGTCGGTAAAACACACAATCAAAGAATGGAAATGACTTTATTTTTCTTACAATTAAAAATGTTTACGCGAGTGAAGGCGGGCAATACGTTATAATCACCGTCAGATTCAGTAACTGGCAGGTGCATGTTCTTATTGGTATTGTGGTACCGCAAACCCCGTGTAACGTTCCGGCGGAGGGAAGGTTGAATAATTCCCAGTATGTGGGGATTTTCGGTATTGTCCTGCTCGTTGTTACTGACATTAACCTGGTTACAGTGTGAAACTTCTTGAGTGGATGGAAACTTCTGAGAAATCACGCTAGGCATGGTTGGTGGAGCTTGCGGTAGTATGGCTGCATGGATTGGTGCAAGTGGGTTGACTGTTGCATCTTCATTGTTCATTGCAGAAGAAGGATGAGAGCTTGCGAGTTCTGATGAGATCCAACACATTTTTGGGCGTTGCAAAAGGCACAGCTTAGTTCGACGACAATGGCTGCAGTCTTGTGATCAGAATAAAGTACTCTAATCGCCGACGGCAACGAGTTGGGACGAACAGAAATTTGCGACGGGTGCTTCTTGATTTCTCACCGTGGGAGAGATTCGTCATCCATTCTAATATTCTTTTAGACTGAGCTACTGTTGGTTGAACACGTCTTTCGTGTGGAGAGGGTTGGTCAGACTTGTGCATGGTTTGTAAAATTTCCATCCATGTGTGTAGATGTTTTTGTGTGGCGTTCCCTTCGCGGTATACGTTGCCCGCGATTTTGGCAACGATAACCTCTTCTAACAGGTGACAAAGCATTGGGCACACGAGTTCCCCGAGTACAGTTTCGGAACCTGGCATACATTCCAGACTGCATGTACTATCTTATACCAAGAAATGGTGTGGCAGTCCCGAAATACTTCAAATGGAATCATGTGCACGTGGAATTCGTTAAAAGGCGCTCGTCAAATCAGTTGCAGTTAGGCGTTTCTTTGGACAATATGAAGTCGAGTGACGTCGTTGGTCCTGTAACCAGACCAGACGCTCCAGTTGGTTTCTTTATGAGGGGTTCCTTTATGAGGAGAGGTTGGGAAAAGCATTAACATTTTCTGGATGTTTAAAACTCATGTGGTTCAAGTTCGTCAAACTTCGCCTGAAGTTCAAGAGGTAACTGGCGGGCTGTGGTAACAAAGCTTTTTTGTAAAGAGGTTCCAAGGTATCACTTGGGAGTTCGATCTCAATAAATTCTCAACATCACACCGTCGTAGATGGGGAAGAAACCTGGAGTACAAGTGCACAACGTGTTGCTATGCTTGTTGTTGGAAGGTCGCTGACATCCATCACGCAATGCAATGTGGTTGGTTTCTATAAAGGGTGCACTTGTTAATGCAACTACGTTAAGATCGTCGGTGGCCAGGCCCTCGAAGCAGGGCCGCAGAGAGGGGGGGGCAGGGGGGGGG